CTGAAATAAATAAATGGTAACAATTGCTGTAATATAATATACAATATAATATATGCAATTATGAATATACTCCTACAGATCTCAAGGAGAGATTAGAATATATATATATATATATGAAATAATGGACATAAGGAGATATGATGAAAATAAAAGAATAAAAATAGACTTACAGGTGCCTTTAGCAAGGAGTTTCAGTTAAAACTGGGAAAACTTTGGTGGAGCACCATTGGGGAACTTTGCTGACCTGGTTGGGGGTAAGTAGTAAAAACAAAACAAAACCTGGAATATTACGGTATCTAAACTTTAAAAGTATTGATAAATACAAGAAAAAATACCATATCTATGAACTAATAAATTATAAATATACATAAAAAATTATAGATAGAAGTACAATGTGAATAAAAACAAAAATGAAAGGCCGTACATAGAAGTAAAATGTAAATATAAAAATAAGAGACCATACAAATGTAAATATAAATTGCAAAAACTAATTTAGGAGAATAGATAAGAAAAAAATATGAATAATTATAATTATAATTAGTTGTATATATTGTAAGAAAATTACATTTAAATATTAGATAAAATTGAGACAAAATGGTTAAAAGTACAAGGAATACAAAAGAAAAACGGATGATCGTACATTGTGTTAATTAAAAATGAAAGAGAGATCATAAAAAGCAGAATTACTTTAAAATAATGAATGATTAAATTAAATTAATCAATGAAAATTGAAAATGCATACAAAATAAATAAACAAGAATAATAGAAGATATAATTAATAGAGAAGTTATTTTTTACTTATATAAGATTTAAAATGTGCTTATATAGCATTTCCAAGTCAATTTCAACCTTTTTCAAATCAAATTCAACCTTTTCCAAGTCAAATTAAACCTTTTCCATTTCAAATTAAACCTTTTCCAAGTCAAATTCAACCTTTTCCATTTCAAATTCAACTTTCGAATTTTTGTCAATTTTCGATTTTTTTCGAAATGAAGGCCACTTACTATATTATCGAAGGCATAGCTTTTGAAAAATACAAAAAAAAATTTGATAACGCGGTTGCATATCCATTTATTTTAACATTTTAGATTTTTTCAGTGTGATATTTCTATGTCATTTCCAAGTCAAATTCAACCTTTTCCAAGTCAAATTCAACCTTTTCCAGATCAAATTAAACTTTTTCCAAGTCAAATTCAACCATTTCCATTTCAAATTAAACCTTTTCCAATTCAAATTCAACCGTTTTCATTTCAAATTAATGTTTTAATTTTTTGTAAAATTTATATATTTTTTTAAAATAATGGCCATCCCCTCCCCCCTCCAATATGAAAGTCTATTATTATGATCTCCTAAGTAGAATTTTCACTTACGGATATCGATTTATTGTACCTATTCGGATTTATTAGGGACTAGTATTATGCTGTCCTGTACCTAGATTTGAAAATAACCTCCATTTTAAGATTAAGTGACTGCGTTTCGAATCATTTAAGTTTTTTTGACTTATTCGATATAAGGGTGTATTTTTATGTTTCCCGATCAGTAAATTTTGAAAATGACATCTATTTTATGTTTACGCCACTGTGTTTTGACTTATTTAAGTTTTTAGAATTTATCCAATATAAAGGTCTACTTTTATGTTTCTGGAGCCGTAGATTTTGAAAACGACCTCCATTTTAAGATTAGGCCACCGCGTTTCGACTTATTTGAGTTTTTCGGATTTTTTTCATATGAGGGTGTATTCTTATGTTTCCGGAGCCGTAGATTTTGAAAACGACCTCCATTTTAAGATTAGGCCACCGCGTTTCGATTTCTTTGAGTTTTTCGATTTTTTATCATAAGAGGATGTATTCTTATGTTTCCGGAGCCGTAGATTTTGAAAACGACCTCCATTTTAAGATTAGGCCACCGCATTTCGATTTCTTTAAGTGTTTCGAATTTTTATCATAAAAGAGTGTATTCTTATGTTTCCGGAGGTGTAGATTTTGAAAATGACCTCCATTTTAAGATTACGCCACTGCGTTTCGGCTTATTCAAGTTTTTCGAATTTATCCAATTTAAAGGTCTACTTACTTTTATGATGCCGGAGCCTTAGTTTTTAAAACGACTTACATTTTAAGATTAGGCCACTGTGTTTCGGTTTTTTTAAGTGTTTTTGATTTTTCCTTCGAATAAAAAACAAAATACGAAGGATTAATTTATTTTTCAATAAATACAAAAAAAATATCAATATCAATAAATAAAAATATGTATTGTTTCATTTTTAATTTAATTTTAGTTATCTTTTTTAATGTTGTGGTCTCCTGTCACAAAATCATAAGATTTCGTACAATTAGCTGAAAAATCTGAATACGGAAGGTTAAATTTATTACCAGCTGCTTTTCGGCTTTTTAGTTTGTATTCTGTGGTTAATTTAACTTTAGCTTCATAATGTTTATTTATTTATTCATACTCGAAAACATATTGATGAAACTTTGTATTGAAAAAATCCAAAATGAAGCCTAATTATTCGAGATGCAGCGGCTTAATCATAAAATGGAGCTTAAATATTAGATAAATTTAAATATTAAAGATTAGAAAAATTTCAATACGTCTCGGATAACATATAAGTAGATCCTTACACCGTAAAAGTAAAAAAAAAAAACTTTTATAATCCAAAACACAGTGGCATAAACTTGAAATTGGGTCATTTACAAAATGGGGGAAATCTACTGCTCCAGAAACATAAAATTAGATCTTTATACTTGTTAAATTCTAAAAACTTAAATAAGTTGAAACGCAGTGGCGTAATCATACAACAGAGGTCATTTTCAGAATCTACGGTTCCGAATACATAAAAGTATACCTTTAAATTGGATAAATTCGAAAAACTTAAATAAGTCAAAATGAAGTGGCGTAATCATGAAATGGAGGTTATTTTCAAAATCTACGGCTCAAGAAACATAATAGTAGACCCTTACATCGAATAAATCAAAAAAACTTAAATAAGACGAAACGCAGTGGCATAATCTTAAAATGGAGGTCATTTTCAATATCTACAACACCGGAAACATAAAAACACACCCCTAACATCGAATAAATAAAAAAAACTTAAATAAGTCGAAACCCAGTGGCATAATCTTAAAATGGAGGTCATTTTCAAAATCTACAGCTCCGGAAACATAAAAATACACCCTCATATGAAAAATATCCGAAAAACTCAAATAAGTCGAAACACGGTGGCCTAATCTTAAAATGGAGGTCATTTTCAAAATCTACAGCTCCGGAAACATAAAAATACACCCTCATATGAAAAATATCCGAAAAACTCAAATAAGTCGAAACGCGGTGGCCTAATCTTAAAATGGAGGTCATTTTCAAAATCTACAGCTCCGGAAACATAAAAAAACACCCTCATATGAAAAATATCCGAAAAACTCAAATAAGTCGAAACGCGGTGGCCTAATCTTAAAATGGGGGTCGTTTTCAAAATCTACGGCTCCAGAAACATAAAAGTAGACCTTTATATTGGATAAATTCTAAAAACTTAAATAAATCAAAACGCAGTGGCGTAAACATAAAATGGATGTCATTTTCAAAATTTACTGATCGGGAAACTTAAAAATACACCCTTATATCTAATAATTCAAAAAAACTTAAATAATTCGAAACTCAGTCACATAATCTTAAAAAGGAGGTTATTTTCAAAAACTACTCGTACGATAACAGACCCACACATCGAAAAATTAAAGATAATTAAATAAATAAAACAAGGTTTAATTTGAAATGGAAAAGGTTTAATTTGAAATGGAAAAGGTTGAATTTGACTTGGAAAAAGTTTAATTTGATTTGGAAAAGGTTGAATTTGACTTGGAAAAGGTTGAAATTGACTTGGAAATGCTATATATTAAAGAAATGCAATTTTTGTCTACTTTATGATTAACAGGATTCTGTTCCATGTGGATGTAGATGGATTCGGAAATGAATCTTTTTTCATTCTTAGGGACCGTGGCAAGAATAGAGGTTTTTTCAAAATCAATGAATGGTTGAGAGTTAAGGCATGTTCTGATAGTTTGGAGGCGGAAGGCTACCGGGATGTTATAGATTTTTTATGTTGGGAAATACGGGTCTTAAGATGGTTTTTGGTTTCGCCAATATAGGAACTATTAGAATTAGGAGTAGAGCAAGGTATCCAGTAAACTACATTAGATCGGTGTTGTAAAAGCATGGGATCCTTCAAGTTGGTGAAAATGAAAGAAAGTTTGCTATGGGACTTAAGGCCAAGACGTAAGTTGGTAATAGTCTTTTTTAGGAATTTTTGTATGTTATCTGAAAGAATAGAAATATAGGAGAGAAATTTGTTTATGAAAGGTGTGGTAGGTGCTTGTGGGGAGTTGGGAGAAGGGATGTACTTTTTTTGGTTGTATAACAGTTTAAAAGTTTGAGTATGGTGTTGAGAGGGAAATTATTGGAAAGGAGTCTATTTTTGACACGCTAAGTGTTGGTTTGATGATATTGTGGGTCAGATAAAGAGAGAGATCGGTGAATAAGGTTTTTGGCAGTATTTATTTTTTTTCAATATCTCCTCGAGATCTGCAGGAGTAAATTTATAATTGCATATATTATATTATATATTATACCAAAACAATTGTTACCATTTATTTACTTCAGTTTAGGATCTCATTACTTAGTTTACTCTGTTTATATAGTTTATTGTTCTTAATATTTCAATATACTTACTGTTTATAATTTTAATAAGTTTATTCATCTGGTTTATAATTTTTATGTAAATATTATATCACTTCCACAATTTTCTATATCCTTTTGTATCTTGTCCGTTCAAGATTAACCCTGAAGAAGACCGAAGTCGGGTCGAAACGTTGGCTTGAAATAAAATAGTTTTCCACTATTTTAGTCTTTTTATGACCGCCACCCCAGACCATCTCCTTACTCTAAAAGTAATTTTATTTTTGTTGAAAGCATAATGGACAATTTGTTATTAATTCTTTTTATTTTTTTAACAGTTGAAGGATGGGAATCAAATATTACCCGTGAAACCAAGATCTATGTTATACCTGAGAATGACACGAATATTATCAGTAGCAAAACCGTATGTAAGGGATCATTTAACTTGATAATAATTGTTTTTTCTGCTCCTGAAAACTTTGCTCAGAGATATGCTATACGGGAAACCTGGGGATCATATAATATAACAACCGTTAGAGTGGCATTTCTGCTTGGTTGTTCGAAAAACAGTAGCTCTCAGGTAATTTTTATGTGTGTTTTTTCTATTAGTTAATTCATATATTAATGTTAATTTATATGATCAGTTAATTCATGCATATTTATCCCAATTTAATCTACAAACCAATGGTGTCAGGTTAATTTTCTATGTGTACTGTACAATGTTTTATAAGCAAAACTGTATATTGATTTGTTATTTGTAATGGAGTTGATTTGAAATTCCTATAGGAAAAAGGGTATCATAAATTGCCCTTGTAGCATTAGGACTAATGCTGGCTCAACAGGGGCCATCGAGGCATTGTGGCAGACAGGTTTATGCTATTTTTCTATTATGACCTCTCCTGGAACGGAGCTGCTTTATATAACACTATCACTGGGGTTGGGCTCAAAGATTATAGTCCTGAGCAGTAGCGAGAGAAGGCCCAGGGCTGGCATAGTAATTAATAATCCTAATCACTATCTGTTTCATATGAGACAGTTTAACTTGGTGGATTATGCATCATTCTTTGCCTGATCAGACATCATAGCCTTTAACCTGATATTGGCATGTATGCTTGACTGACATGACATGAAAAAAGCAATTTTAAAATTAGGAATGTGATAATTTGTGCAGATACAAACTCTGCCGAACATAGTCGTCTGGAGATGTTGGGGATATACCCAGAAGTATAGAAGGGTTAGGCACGAAGGTGATTGATTTTATCACCAGAAAACAATCAGTTGTGAACGGTCTTTCTGAATTAATCACATTTGTGGAGGAATGGATCAGAGTTGGCTTAGTACAATGATAGCTTTATTATCATTCATGAGATACATCATTGAATAAACCCTCAGAGTTTAAACATTTTCAACCACAATGCAATAATTTTTGGCCTGGCAAAAGAATTGGAATGTTCCCAAAGCATCGACAATAGTTATATCACATCATGAGAGTGATTAAAGTGCCCTCAAATGCACACTGGAGGTAATGATAACTGATGAAAAATGGGAAGAGACAGAGAGGCCGCAGGCTTTTCAGAATCATCGAGTGTCATTCACAATGTTACCATAAAAACATCCCTCCAGCTCTTTAAGGCAAGAGTTCAACCAACACCATGGTGGATGCCACCTTTTGCTGTTCATAAAAGAAAACTGCTTTATATTAAAATTATAAATGCGACAAAAGACCATTGTACTTCATAATGACGACAAATCTAAAACCAGAGTAAAGTGAAACAAGGCTCATTCACAGAATTGTAAATCTGGTAAGAATTAATCTTTAAAGTGTCATCTTAGAATCTCTAGAATATTCAGTACAGCACTGGTGGCATTGGACAAATTGTCTCCACTCCAGAGAACAGACAGGGTCTTGAAATATCAGGATGTCTAGCAACCACCTCAGAAAAAATAGACAATGTATTCATTGAAGCAATATACAACAGAGATGTTCTCAAACAGTACAGTGAGGATGACATTTTGTGAGACATATCAAGATATATCTATCTAGATCAGTCATTTATCCTCCATTATTATATTACTATGAATACACAGAAGACTAATTGTGCTATAATGAAAGTTTATTCAGATAACCATATATTTTTTATTAATACTAAAGTGTGGCCAACCCTATTTTACAAATTATGCATCTGGTTATTTCATTGTACTACTTCTTGCTCAAATTGTATAGCTGTAATTTACATTTATTCTGTAGTACAGATTATATTATTTTTTTAAATAATATAAAATATTTATCAATATAAGATATTTATCAATATAAAATAAATAGAACAAAACCGCAGTTCAGACGAATTTTTAATTTCTTTCAAAATCTATACTACATATTGTGACTTATTGCCATTTTGTAACCATAATATATACCCATTTTGTTGTCCAGCTTCATAAAAGCCCAACATCAATTTGAGCCTTTTATTTCTAATATTTTCATTGTACGAATCTTAATAATTATTATTATTTCGCAATATAATATAAATATTATATATAATATAATATATTGTATTCAGAGGAAAATGTCTAGACCGAAAAATAACTGCTGTCACCTAGCTAAAATCAAACTTCCACCTCCAGATGAATACTATTTTCCTCACAGATTTTGGTTCTGAAATCTGTATTTTGTATTAGAGGAGTAGGAGGTTACAGGAGCTCAACATATATGTAATTAAATGAACAGTTGTTTAATTTGTAATATAATCGCTATAGGAGAGCAGCATAATCAAGTCTAGAGGACTGTGCTGAAAAACTGAGCTTGAGTAAGATCCTACTCTCCTAATACTAAATAGAAATTTTCACTCTGGTCTCATCATTAGGGTCCGTCCCGCTTTGTATCTGTGAAATAAAATATTTCAGTCACTAAAAACTTTTTTATATATAGGGTTGTCTGGAAGATAATGCAGAATTTTGAGTTTTCTTTAAAATACCTTTCTGTATAACAAACTTTTTACGTTTATTGGATTATTCATTTGTATGAATGTCAACACTTATTAATCCTCTTTCAAACGATAATGTTTATTTACCTTTGTAGCATTTTTTTGTTTAGAAATAATTAACTCTTTACTAAGATATCAATGCGTGATTTTTGTATAATTTTGTTTTACAAGTTTAAACTCGGCCTGAATGGGGCCCAGAAACATCAATCAAATCTGAGGCAAGAGCAGCATTAATGAGTGCACTGTTCTATAGTGGTTCAAAAATTTCGGGAGAGAGACTTCAGTCTTGAAGACAAAGACCATTGTCAGAGAGAAGGAACCTCCTCTCTTGATGACAATTTTTGGTGGGTTTTGGTGGAAAAACCACAAAACAACTGTTTGAGAACTTGCAGGGAAAGTTAAGCTTAGCAAATCGACCATCGATGACCACTTCAAGACGATTAGAAAGGTAAAAAGGCTTGAAAGTTGGGTTTCACACACATTAAACGACCTCTATAAAAACAGCATTATTAAGTTTGTGCTACATTTGTTTGCCAAAATAAAAACAACTCTTTTCTGTCCAAAACTGCTACTTGTGATGAAAAGTAGATACTTTACGATAACAGTAGACGTTCTGGACAGTGGCTCAATAAAGGAGAAGCAGCAGAACATTTTCCAATGGTCCTAACTCATCAAAAAAATTAATGCAATGCATCAGGAATTGGTAATAATGAAGCCATCTTTGGTCAATCGAAGGGGCCTATTTTGTTGCATGAAAAGCCCGGCCACATGTCTCATGTGTGATGTCACAAAAACTGTTGGAGCTTGGATATGAAACTGCTCTACTCTCCAGACCTCTCGCCTACAGATTATACTTTTTTTATACACCTGGACCACTACTTACTTGACAAAAAATTTAATGAAAAAGGGTATTAGAAAATGCGTTTTTGGAGTTTATCAATTCTAAAGATGGGAAATTCTATTCCAAGGGAATGGAAAAGTTACCAACACAGCAGAAATGTATTGACAGTAGTGGATACTATTTTGATTAAATAAAACAATTATAAATCTTTCTTTTTAAACTAAAATCCTGCATTATTTTCCTGACAACCCAATTAAAGAAAGAAATTTATATAACATATTTTTTATAGCTTTTAGTTGAAGAGGAGAATGCCGAATTTCAAGATGTAATTCAAGAAGATTTTATAGACTCTTATAATAACTTGACTGTGAAAAGTGTTATGATGCTCAAATGGTTTCTTAGTAAGTGTCCGTCCCCGACGTTTTTGATGAAGACAGATGATGATATGTTTATAAATATAGAGTACTTATCCGCCCTGATTTCAAAAATTAATAGCCGTTCTGTTTTAATTGGCTCACTTATTTGTAAAGCGAAACCTATACTGGATGCAGCTAACAAATGGTGAGCATTTTTTTTTTTTTTTTTTTTAATTGAAACCTTTATATATTTTATCATATATATTTCAAATTATCTTGTTTTTGTTCTGTGAAGGTATATACCAAAATATATGTATCAGAAACCATTTTATCCTAACTATTTGTCTGGAACAGCATATGTAATGTCACGAGATGTTGCCTCAAAACTTTATACAGCTGCTTTATCAACTGCACTTATTCACTTAGAAGATGTTTACATTACTGGTAAGTATTATATTTTATTTTTTATCCATTGTGAATACTAATTGTTCTTTAAAGATTTTATGAGCTTCTGAAAACTTATAAGACTTATTATACCCCCATTGTTATTAAAATAAAAAAATAGCAATTAAAAAATTTATGCAGATAAATAAATAGTTATATTTTGATCTTGGGTCAGTGAGGATTTGTCACATTAAGAAAGTTTTTATTGGTATTAGCATTGAACTACCACAATTCCTAGGCCTTTTTGTTCTAATTTTTATTACATAACATTAAGGGAGCATATACAAGTATCTAAGATTATGAAGGCGTATTTGAAGAATGGTTTGATTATTAATTGTACATGAATATTTTTGATTTCTCAAGGACTAAATTAACAAACATTCCCTCTTTTTATGTTATATTATGTGTAAAATATTGGGGAGGCCCTGGTACATGCCAGATGACCGGGAGCCCTTTCCTTGTGTAGAAAAATAATTGAGTGGGGAGAATATTTGTGAATTACACAATCTTTAATCCTGTTAATTTATTTTATTAATTATAATGGATATCCCTGAAGGGGCGATCACTTTTAGTTTAGTTAGGGAGGAAGGCCGTTCGCAGGTCTTGCTTCAGCATCTATCTCCGGTAGCTGCCATGGTCCTCAGGTGCGTCTGTGCCGTTTCTCGCTGATCGTCTAAAATGGCTGTATTTGAGGGGGTGCGATTCTTTCCGGTCTCTCTTGAGGAGTTCAGGATAGCTATGAGCTGTTCCTGGTAAAGTCGGCAGAGCAAGTGAGATTGAGGCAAGGTGCTTTGTCGAGCACCTTGACCTCGTACTTAGTTAAGGCTGTCTTCGAGAAGGGTAAGACAGGAGGAAACCGGTGGACCCCCGTGTTATTAATACAAAGCCAATTAACAAATATACAATAAGTTATACGGTGTACAATTAGGATGCAAATCCAACATTATGGTTAGATTAGGTTAATGAGTGAAGTGAATTTAAAGTAATTAAATAAAGAAAAAAATATTATTAATCTTAAGATTTTTTTAGGTATATGTGCAGCAAAGGCAGGGATCAGACCTCGAAATCATGCTGGTTTTTCTTATGAGCATTTTGGAATAGGGTGTGAGGCCGAAATGGTTACGAATCATCGTTTGAAACCACAAGAGCTACGTCAAGTATGGAATCAAAGGAACAACTGTACTACTAAAATCAAACCCCCGACTATAAAACCCAAGTCTATAAATCAATGTCATTGACTTAAAAATTATTCTTATTTAGTTAAAAATGTGACAATAGGTTTGTTGTCATCATGTAAGTTTTGTTCATAAACTTGAGTAAAGTTCTAGAAATTTAAATCACAATTTTGCTGTGAATTTATGAAGCGGTAGAAAATATAACTCAGTTTATTGTACATAGATTTTATGAGGAGTATTAGGAAAGTAAAGATACAAGGCACAAATGTCTTATAAAGAAACATTTAGCCATTTAAAAAAACAAACTTATTTCAATATATTTATTTTATGTACTTGGTCAGTCAGGTAATAAGCTTATTGATTATAACCTCATTAAGTAGTAACTAAGTAAGTTACTTGTTTCATAACTGTAATGTTACTTCCTTTTTTAATATGAAATTTGTTTAAAAAAAAAAAAAAATCCCTCTTTCCCCTTATTATTACTTGCCAAAGAATCCCTCTTTTTAAAGCTATAATATCCAAGGAAATATGAAGCTGTGTGCTGATCAAGAATGGTTTGTTCTCTAGACATATAGAAATTGAAGCCAGTCTTGTAAGGTTAGCCAATGATTATTGCTTTATTTTGGCAGTTATCTCTTTTTCGCTTTATTTTACTTATTTATTAAAGTTACTTTTTTCCTTTCATCTTTCATTTGGTTGTACTATATCATTCTTGTCATATGTTTGAATCTTTTTAATCAGCTGGAAGTTCTTGATCTATTTTAAATGCTGATTCTCCTTATATGCAAACACTTGATACTCATATTATATGTAATGAAGAAATTGATTCATATTGTTTTTGAAGAGATTGTATCTTTAATTTCTGAATAACCTCCTATTTCTTCTGTAGGTTTTCAATTTATTTATTGTATTTCGATCTTAAATGATAGCAGTGCCAATAATTATAATGCTCTTTCTAATAAGTATTCATTCAATGAAAAAGCGAATATTAGAAAATTGCATGATATAGAGTCTGTTGAAAATTGATATTTAATTTTTTAATAAGGATGTAATGTAATAAGTATAAAAAATATCTGTGATAATAAGAAAAATGTTTAAACTATTTCTAATACTTATTCTAGATTAGAGCAGAAAAGACTTAAACAAATTACTTTAATAGGATTTTTGATCTGTAGAAAAAAATAAATGCTTAATAGTCATAGATTTATTTTTTGAGGTTATGTTCCTTTATAGTAGGCAATTCATTAGTTTCTAATTTTGTTGCTTCATCTGTGTTTAGATCATTTCTTTCAGGAGTTTATATTTTATAAGCTCATTAAATATATGAAATTTAATACAATCTGATTTTAGTATGTTGATTGACCTATAGATAAAAAGATTGTTATGAATACTAAATACTGGAATTTAAAATTACAAAGTTAATTTTAAATTTAAAAAAAACATTTTAAAGATTCATAGTTTCAAGTAGCATGTTCCTATATTTTAAGTTGATTTAAAATTAAAGTTTTTTTAATTAGCTTCTTTATGAACTTTTGTTTATAAGAGTTGGTACTAATGTTGTTATAATGATATTAACTTAAATACTTAGTATATCCAGTTTTTGTATATATATTTTTTTATTTATTTTCTGATTTAATTTTCATCTTTATATCCTGTTACATCTATTTAAACAAAGGTTGATATTTTTCCTTTCTCTTTACAGAAGGTAGGGAATCATTCCATTTTCTTATCTACTTAATATCTAAAAATTTCTTCTTGCAATCTTTTTTTTTTTTTTTCATAGTACCAGCTAGTTGTTATTACACATTTAAAAAAAAAAAACTTATTTTATATTTTATAAATATGAAGTTATTAAACTAATTTTTATATGTTTTAATATACAAATAGATTTTTTAATTATATTTATTAATTTTGTTTTAATTATTTAGTTCTTCTTTTTATATTGAAGAATGTAGTGTTGGCTTTTGTTTACTTTGCATAAACTGTACTTTTGTCTGAATGAATAAATGGGGTATATGCATCTTTTTATATTTTGGTAAAGAAAAGAATATTCTACAATTGTCGGTTCAAAGTAGTAATATCAGACTTGCTGAAAAGGATAGTTACACTTTGGGCAACAAAAAAAAATTAAAAGGTTATAAATTAAAAGTTTTATTTATGATACAATTAATTAAAAAACAGTTTAGTCACGTGTATTGTTGCTAATATTTTGCTTTTTATGAAGTTAAAGTTAGAGTTAATTTTTTATATAGTTTGCCTAAGTTTTCTTCTCTCCCTAGACCAAGAGAAACAATATCTAATATTGTCGATATTGTTCATATAACAGTAATTATTTACTCATTATAGATTAATACTAACTCAACTGTGATAATGGTTGTATAATATTTTATAACAAATATATCCTTTAGTAAAAGGCACAATACTTTTTTATTTATTCATTTATTGTTTGATCTGACTACACCCGCATCACAAATAGGTTGAGAAACCCTCTTATCCATCAGCTTAGCTCCCCTTATTTCATTAAAGTTATAAGTATCATAATTTTTTTCAGAAATATCCACTAAAACTAAGAGTTGACAAATTTGATTAATTGATTTACGACTTTAAACGGTAATCTATAAAAAGAAAAACATTTACAATGCTGATGCTTAAAATAAAGTAAAACTTGGTCTGTGGTGATTGAAAAATATGACGTCATGAAGTTTATATTGCTAGTTTTGCTTAGTTAATAAGTGTGTTAACTTATCAAATAATATTTAGTAAAAAGCTTTATGTCAAACTTAGGAAATCGTAGTTTTAAAAGTAAATCTATCATCCAAAAGTTGTATTTGTGACATATGCATATACGCCATTAATTTTATATACATTTATTATTAACTGTATTTTTTGTCACAGCAACTATTTTGTTTTGTTGCTTAATTAATATGGTCAGTTTTATGGTAATTCTTGTAAAATTTCTTATTTGTTTTTTTTTATAATAAATTTTGCTGGTCTTCAGAGCTTTTGCATATGATAGTTTTTTTAGATATTTAATTATTTGGAGAATTATAACATTCCTACATTTTTAATAAACTAATATAAATTCAATTCACTGAGTGATACTCTTATATTGTTAAATTAATATGTTATATATCTATATTAACTTTCAATTTTAGATATTTTATATATTAAGATGGAGTAAATAGATGCGATATTGTCATTAAAAATCCCCTATTTTCTTTTTAAACAATCATAAATTATTATTAACATACCACAGTAAGTTTTTGTTAATACTCTTGCTGTACTAGGGATTGATTATATTTTATTATCAGATTTCAAGTTGTTAAAATTGTTGAAGTTATTAACAGATTTCAAGCTGTACATTTCATTATTAGTTGATTAGGTGAAAATGATGATCTTATTAATGAAAATTACTAATTAATAATTTAATATGTAGGGTGTCCCAGGAGGAACTGTAACTTATTACAAAAATAGTTTAATGCCAACAATCATACATTCATACCTCAGTATACTATTGTCAGGTATGTGATATCTTAACCCTTTGACTGCGTGAACTCATTCGCGTGTTTCTACCAGATGGTGCATCCCAAAATCCAGAAAAACGGATTTTTTATTTTACATAAATTTGTTTAAAATGCTATTTTGAGTCACCCTGCAAAATTTTAGCTTTCAAAAATGCATTTTAATCTTTTTATTCAACTTGTAATAAACGGGACATATACCTTCCCTGCTGCACATAGCAGGACTAAGTCCTAAAGATTAGTTTAGCCCAGTAGTAATTATAGTTGCATTAACTTAATATTAAATTATCAATTTTAATCAGATGTTGAATCTACCCTCAGTTAATTAAAATCTATATATTTATATTTTGTTTAACCATTAAGTTATGTAAGTTCCTTGGACCGGTGAATGTTATAAAAATTGTACCGATAATTATTTGTAGAAGAAAATGCTGAATTTCCACAAGTTCCTTCTTGTTTCTACTTGTAAATTTTAGAGTTACAAATTAATACAGATTAATAATTAAATAAAAATCAGCATTTTAAAAAAAAAATTATTAATTCAATTAGGCACAGGTTTATTAATTTGATTCAGAGAAATTTTTCTAAAAATTAAAAACTAAGTAAATGAATATTTCTTTACAAAATATCTTCAAAAAACAAGGTAATTTAATTACAAAAAAATAAAATACTTTCTGGTAAATTATTTTGTGTATTTAAATTACATTTTTGGATTTTAGTATTTTAGAAATAAAATACAATTTTTGTTTGTGTTTTAAAAAGAAAATACAGTTGTAGACAATGTATTTTATATTTTACTTCTTAAAATACAAAAAATTATTTATTTTGTATTTTAAAATACTTTATTTTAAATACCGCCAAACTGATCCAAATGTATATGATATGATACAAATGTACTTTTTGTGCTAGGGGAAACTACTTAAGGGTTGATATTTCACATACAGCTCACAACCTACAATTTTTATAGTTAATTATTTTTAATTGTGTATACATCATGGATATTATGTTTTGGTACTTATTATTTATGATAAGAAATATTGGAAGTAAAATGCTTATGATTCTTAATTAAATCTCAATTTTTATGTGTGATTTTATTTAAAAATTACACATTTATATGGAAAATGGGATTATATCATTAATTTCACCTACATCAAAAAATTGTTTTCTATCATAATATTATTGGATTAGGTTTATAACTTATGTTGTAGTTTCTATATATTTGAATACTGTGTGAATGTGACTGTGATTAATCTGTTTTTATCATTTGAATTGTGAATTGCAGAAATCCCACAGGTCAAATTTCATAAATATGGAATCAATATGTTTCTGCAATTCTCAATTTTTTTATTAGGGATATAAATACTTAATTAGTTATTTTATTTGAGAAAAATAATAATTTTAATTGGAAAAATTTTATTTGTGGTGTTTTCTAATTTTTTTACTACATCATGAAAAAATGTCATCGGTTTCATTATTATGATATTATTGACGAATGTTTTAAAATCACACCTGGTTCTAAATTTAAAAAATCAGTTATATTAA